TACGACGAAACCATCAGTCCACCGGGCAAATAGTGTCCAGGATATGGCGCTAACCCACGGCGACCGCAGTGACGCAGTGACGAACTCGGCGGTAATCGCGGTAAATCCTAGACGCGATGTACCCGGTATCGATTTGCCTCCGGTCGCACCCATGGTGGAGATGCAAGTTACGACAGATTCACCGTCCACCGAGTTGTCAGGTACGACACCAGCTGCAGCCACTGCAGAAGTTGGCGAGATCGAGTCGTCGTCAACCATCATCTCGTCATCTTTGCCAGATGTTAGGCCGGTCGAAGCCGACGACGTGCTGCAGTCAACTCCGACGTGCAACATGGCAGAACTGCAATTTGACAGTGCCGAGTGTAAAAACTGTACGACGAAACCATCAGTCCACCGGGCAAATAGTAACCAGGATATGGTGCTAACCCACGGCGACCACAGTGACTCAGTCACGAACCTGACGGTAACCGCGGTAGTTCCGAGACGCCGTTCTCTGTGGAGCCGGACGAAGAGATTCGTCCGGCGAATGGTTTGTTGCGGAGCTATAGACCGCAATGTATAGTGTTGTGTGTTTTGCATGTTCATCCCAAGCTTGATCGGCACTTTCGTGTCCAACCTATATTATGTAAGTTTACACAAATAAATGTTTTTGTTTTGTTATTTATTTGATATTATTATTTAATAAACGCGTCAACACGTTAGGGTAAAATTAACTTATGCGGCTTGTGAATAATAATATGTTGTCTAAATTGTATAGGTACAGGTTACTTTCGGTTGTTCTTTACCTACTATAGTGTATAAACCTCACGAGAAAACTTGTATTGAATTTTCAAGATTTTTGACCAAAAAAACATAATAATATTATCAACAACTAGCAAAGTTCATTGAAAAAAACCAAAAACACTGCGATATCATGGAAAGAATGAAACGTGTAATAATAAGTTCTCCGTGGATTTGGATTTCACCAAATTGCTTAATAATTTTATATTTTTCTATAGTTTTGACAGTGACATTTTCATAACATTTAAATTAAATCGTTTTATACTAATTCATATTTATGGTTTTACGGCTACCGCCAAGGGTTCCTCCCTAATTATCAAACTTCGTAACTGTGACGGTTACCATAAACTTGTCGAATATTGCAACGACTCGGATTTAGAATGCCATACGTGGGCCACCATTACTATCTAAGAATACCGTCTCTCCTTAATTATATCTTCCCCGAATCCATAATCATAACCATTATTTTCACATCAATACCTTTTGTATATTTATCATTTCCATTACAGTTTTTTTTTCTACCCCAAAACCATGGACTAAGATATACTTGTTCCCTTGTTCCCTTAAAAATCCATAAGTGGAAGGTGATCTGAAAAAAATTAATAATTAATATTTTTGACCACTCTTTGTCTAAGTGAATATTTTTACCTTATTTTCAACAACATGCATAATAAAATCCAATTCTCTGAATAACGTCTATTTTTTAAATTGGTGACTTTACTAGCATTTACGATTTCTTGGATTATTGTTTTTTTGTGAACTATTTAAGTTTGTATGTTCAACTAAACCATTTAATGATTTATTTGTTAAGTTCTTTGATTTATCTTGTAGTTCACTGAATGTCTGAATGTACAATTTAATTGGTTAATTTTTAATTTAAACCTTTGAAAAATAAAATATTAAAAAGTATTTTAATAAATAAATAGGTAATTAGTTTAAATTAATTTTACCTTTTGTTGGATTTCTTAACATTTTTCGATTTTTTTTATCATCCCTTTAATTATTTTGTGTCTTGTAGGAGTGAGAGTTGTTCCAACATATGTTTTAGTTCTTATAGATAATCTTTTTTTATATTCTCTAAAATAAGGGAACAATGAATTGCACCTTTTACATCTTTTTTTTGAACTTGTTAGAATAGAACATTCATTATAGCGCCAGGTTGTATTCTCTAAATAAGTATTCTTAACCCGAATTCCTAAATAAAAATTGGTTTAGGTAGGTACCTATACAGTTGTTTTATTTAACATTTAAAACTCATACCTGAAAAATGCAAGGCTGGGCATTAACGAGTTAAAAGTTAAAATTAAGTTAAAACGTTAAGTTAATTAACTCGTTACTTTATTCTTCAAATTAACTTTTAACTTAATAAGTTACTTTTTTTCAAGATTAACGTGTTAACTTCAAGTTAATTTTATTTCAAAAATATTTAAATTAAGTTAATTTTTGTCCGAAGAATAATGCAAATTTTAGAATGTGTTTTTACTTTGATGTATCATTTTAAATTTCCCCAGTAATTTTCTTGAACGTAACGAAAAACTATCTAAAAAACCATGTTATGTGTCCGGATTTTTTTATTTTTGCACATTAGCAAATTTTAACTTTACATTAAGTTAAGTTACTTTTTTTTCAAAGTTAATTTTAACTTAACGAGTTAACGAAAAAAAATACGAGTAACTTTTAACTTAATTATTTTAAAATAACTTAACTTAACGAGTTAAAAAAAATCGTTAACTTGCCCAGCCTTGGAAAAATGTATGACACTGGGACCTCCTTGGCATATTTCTTTTTGTTCAAACAATTGAAGGGTTTCAGTAATTTGCAATGTATCAAGTGGGTATGTTAATTGTTGTAGACCTAAATTTTCAGGATTTCGACGCTTTTGATTAACATAATAGCTCACTTTTAAACTATTTGATTCAAAAACAATTTGTTTTTCAATAACAATTTTAGCTTCATTAAATTCTATGAATTTAATCAGCTTATACAATGCGACAATACATCCATCATGATATAATGACCAACCAACTGGCAATAATAAACTTTCATAGGTACCAGAGTTTTGATTCCTTTAATAAGTCATATGAACTATGAAGTTAGGTAGGTATATATAAATTAAATAATCTACATGGTCTATTATGAAAATTTAATACAAGGCTCCTCATAAGTTTGTCTACCTTTATCAAAAAAAAAAATGTCTACAAGAAACTCAAATTAAATTTTTATGATAGCGTTTGATACCTATTCATTGTTTTACAACATTTGATATTCACTCGATTTCTCATGTAACGATTTTATTATTTTGTTGTCATTAAAAAATGAATAATTGTAGATACTTGAAAATTTCACTGAATATTTATATCAGAATTTCCTATACACCATACAATTTTGAAAATATTTTGACTCTTTTTGAGCTGTGAACGGACATTTTTAACTTTTCAATTTTTTTAGTTTTCTTTTCTATAAATATCAATAAAATGTTGTTTGTTGGGTAAAAAAGCGTGAAAATTTAATGCAAAGCTCCTGATATATTGTTACAATAACAGTTGAAAAATATTAAAAATACATAGGCACAATTTTTTTTTATAAGCGTTTAGAGTTCAAAAATAATTTTGTAGTTAAATATTCATAAAATGTTCAACTTTTAAAGCTAAGGATTGAACATTTACAACAAGATTCCACGTAAACAGGTTATATATTATAAATTACTTTACTCACCTTAGTATCGTCAAATATACTTCGTAATATCATATAGGCTGAGTGCTGACTAACCGTTTTAGCTCAGAATCGTTTTTCTTATACAATGGTTTTATATCATTGAATTCAAATTTAATACCATCCATTATACAGTGACCACTTGTAACCTACTGTACAGCAGAGCACCCTTTGAAACTTTTAGCCGTTCAAGTATCGTGTACCTACCCATATACAAAATATATGGGTAGGTACAAAGTATAGACCAAAGTCTATGCAATTTCCCAACTTACATATTATTATGGGTGTATTTTATTTTATACTATGGAACCCTTTTAATGACCGTACCAGTATAGGTACCCTTTACCAGTGTTTGCGACCTTCGGTATTTACTTTTTGATTGTCCGTTCTTAGACTCCAAACGTTTAATTTTGCTCAGTTCCCTTAGAACTTCCTCAACTCTAATTCTGAAATGTTCATCAAAAAAATTAATCGCCTTTATATCGGAAGCGGGTTTTGTCATTTAATAATTTTACTGTTTTTCATCATACGTGCTACGTATTTATTGTAAATAATAGTGTATAACAATTTAATTGTCGAGCTGTACCTAATAGTCTTATGCTAAAAGATAATAATAAAAGAAAACAATACTAATATGTTAAATGTTTCAACTGTCCACTAAAAATATTTTTGAATTAGGTATAACGAAATACTTAGAATAGTTGTTATTCTTCGTTTATGCATATATTAATTTTGTCCAAATTTAAATTTCAGTTGTCTATAAAGAAATATTCAGATATGATTTTTAAAATGTTTTGGTTTCTTTTATTAAAATTTCAATGTTAGGTCTAAAAATTGAAAAGTTTATACATTTTTAACTATAAAATAATTTTCAAATTTTCATAACATTGAAAAATGCCAACATTTGAACTTCAATTGTTTATAAAAAAAATGTTGCCTAAAAATTTTCAACATATTTAAATAGCTACAATAATAACTTAGAATAAACTTGTCGTATGTATTATATTATATTATATACTTGATAAAATTATTCACTTATGGACTACAGTACCAAATAATATAATCTGGGCCACATTACCACATAGGCACTATGTCTAGAGCCCAAGAAAATTTCAAAAATATTTTATTCTCCAAATTGTGGAGAAAGTGCCTAGGAACCCAAAATAACCTGGTTATAAGGATACAACATTAAGAATTATTTTTGTAACAATAATGATTGGTTAAACTAGTATTTAAACCAAATTTACAACAGACGCATGACGTACGAATATAATAAAAAAAAGTTTTAATAATCAAAAATAGATTTCAATAGATATATTGTTTAATATATTATATTTTATAAGGATATAGGTAGTTTATTAATATTTTTAGATGATGCGAAAGTACAAATAATAATAATATTGGATAAATTAGAATTGATGAATTATACATACAAATGCATAATGCATTAACTCAAAATTTATTTATTTATAAACACAAACTAAAAAAAAAATTCACAATATTTTTTTTTAGAAATCCATAACTCTAGCCAACTTCTTTAACCTGTTCAACAATATATCGCCTTTCTTCACAGTTGTCTGATATAATATACCGCGTTCTAGTCTAGATTCTGGTGCTCCGAGTTGTAAACTATTCTTGGATGTACTACTGGTCACCACAGCTCCAGCAACATGATCGATCTTGCAAGTTAAACGTCCAGCAGCTGCAAATCTAGCAACTTCTTTTTCCACAAATTCTTTAGTCACACCAAACGATTCAGCCATGTAATCCAAACTCAATGATCTATATGCTTGTAATATTTGCTTATAAGCTAATAACCTCATCTCTTGAACATAATATTTATAGTGAGGGTGTAACAATGGGTCTTGTTTCATGTTCTTTTCAATGCGTGCTAAATAAACAAGGAATTTAGAGTATTGACCTTCATATAACGAGACAAAGTAATCTTTGAGTTCCTTAGAATTTGAGTTTAAAGCCTGAGCCATAACACCATGATGCATGAGCGTTTTTTTCAACTCATATCTAGGGAAAGCTATCATTGACGAATATACGGTATATTTGATGATGGTGCTGAAATCTGCAAGTTCATACGATTCAAACGTGGGTACAACGTCTACAAACAGCTTGGCTGCTCGGTTGAAATCTCGTATTGCCAAACTCCAAATACCATCATATGCTTTAAGTTTATTTCTGGCACTCCAATCTCCACCAGATCCTCCTTCAATTAACTCTGTGGCTTTGTCTATTGCTTTTTTCATTGCCGGAATATCGCATCCGTGAAAGTATGCAACTCTAAATAGAGCAAATACAGTATCGATTTGCTGTGACTTAGGTACATTTTTCTCTTCTAATTTAGACTCTGCCAGTTTGGTTGCTTCTTCGCGGTCACCGATAGAACATAAATAAAGCAACTTTGCTTGCCATATACCAGATACTGGGTCGTCATCATCTACCATGGTGGGATTTTTTTCTTGTTCAAGTTCTGCCATGCGCTTAGCATTATTAGCAGCCATTTTATCATAAAGAGTTTGGTCAAATACCCATGACAAATCTGTACATACTTCTTTGTAGTAGGGGGCCATATTATTTTGGACTATACCGGCTAATAAAGATGAAATTAAATCTGGGTCTTCTTTAAACTGTGGGAGAGTTAAGCAAAATTTAATCTGAGCCAATTTCAGATACGCTGGCGTAACACCTTCAGCTATGTCCATATTGGATCTGTAAAAAAATAATACAATCTTTATAGCTATAATGAATTACTAAAATAATAAAACAGTTGTACACTCATACTATCAAATATCTGCTACAAATTAAAATTATATTTTATTACATTAAATTAGGACAGGATACTATAAACATACTAAAATCAGAACAATAAGTATAGTAAAATCATTTTTATTTTAAACATAAAATACACAAAAAAAAAAATGAAATAAACTAGCCAACCATTAGTCGTTTACGACCTCGACTTCGAACATTTTGAAATTGATTAAAAACAGCTTGAAAATCTAACTCGTAAGCGTTTTTATAACCATCTAAAATTACTGGAAATAACTGTGAAAAATAAGAATGAGTACTGACAAATGCTCTTTCTAAAACATATAAATCCACAGCCTTGTCTTCAACACTTGGATTAAAATGGCTAAGGCCAAAATCAATTAATACCAATGTATCATCCTCTTTTCGTATGATGTTAGAAGTTGTTAGATCGCCATGAAATACTCCAAGAGAATGCATTTTTCCTACGATAGCTCCAATATTTGTGAGTAATTTTGACAACTCGCCATTATCATCTAGTTTATCTTTAATATTAGATAGATAGTCATTGACTGTTTGACCATTTATATGTTCCATTATTATTTTGTAGTTATTTAAATCCAAAGAATAAATAACAGGAGTCGCAATCCCACCCTGTTTACATTTTAAAATAGCTTTCGCTTCAGCTTTAGTACGTTCTTTTCGTATATTTAAATCCAACAATTCATTTCTATATTGTCTTGAAAATCTTTCTTTAACAATGGCTTTTCGATCTGAGAATGTTGTAGTGAATATTTTTGATTCTGCTCCTTGTTTATATAATTCCATGATTGGGATGAGATAGGTATGTGAATTACAATCTGTCATTAAATATAAATTACAGTAAATAATACATACAATTGATAAAATAGAATTTTCAAATAAAAGTTAGATAGGTATAACTAAAAAAATTGACTTTTAATTTTAATAAATTATTGAAATTAAGTTAATAAAGGTATAAATATAGGTATATTTATGTAGCATTAAATAATCAACAAAATCAAAAAATAATAACACTATTTTAAAGAAAATAACAAATTCCTAATTTTCAAGGTGTTGACAGAATATGTTCACTGTGCTTAGGAATAACATAATTATTATAAAACTTTTGGTTATTTTCTCATAATATATTTTAATATGTACATTCTAAATATCTAAATTATAATTTATTATAAAAATTGATAAGATTAATCTTTTTTAAGTGTGAATTCAAAATGAAATATACTTAAAAACAATAAAATAAATACACTATTCAGAAAAAAAAGATTTTTAGAGTACATAATAATATACATTACATGAAATAAAAAGGCAAACCAAAAGTACCTATCACATATTTTTCATATTCTTTATAATATTATATTTGCTAAATATATATTTTACTTAACTATATAAACCTAAATTAAAACTACAAACTGTTATATAGTAAAATAACACTTACCAATTATCGATTAAATCAATTAATGAGAATGTGAGTATAGTAAGAGAGTAAATGAGTATAGTAAGAACGTTTTGATTTAAAACTTATTTCTTTTAGGAAACAAATAAGAGTTAATAAGACAATAACTACTATTAAATGCCAAATGGATTTGATTTTGTTTACTTTTTGCATTGTCATTTATCAAAACAATCTTAAGCTAACCTCAAATGATTTTATTAGTTAAGCAACCATGGTATCTACTTCAACTCATAGATAATATAAGAATGGATAGGACATGCCTATACCAGTTCCATATGAGGCCGTGTGCTTTTTTGGGGAAGAGAGAACGTAAAGAGAGAAAGACTATATGAGGCTTTTTAAGGTTATGTGCAAAACTATTTTATTAAATAATAATAATAATAACATGATAATCAGTTATATTTAGATATTTGTCAGTTTGTATTTTGATTGTTGTGCCACCTGTGCCTGGAAAATGGAAATTGGAAAATAATATTTTAACAAAATGAAATTATATAAATTTTATTTATTAATATTTATCAATTATCATATCAATATTTGCCTTATATAACCTTAAAAATAGTATCACTAAATTTTCAGGTGATAAGTTCTTATGTCCTATCCATTCTTATATTATCTATGCTTCAACTTTGGTTATTTGATCAGCTGGTATAAATATAAAATAAATATTGAATAAAAAGTCCTTTAAAAAAAATATAATATTTATAAATTGAATGGTAAATACTAAATTGTAATAATAAATAAACAATAGTTTCAAAGATGCAATTATTTTAAACGCTATTGTTTATAAATTATATAAATAATAATTCACAAAACAATAATATTACCATACAAAAATTTTTTCCTATAATCTCTAAAAATATGTATTATCAATTTATTGTCTAATGTAAATATTGATAAAGTGAATATTAGCGGTTAGCTGATATTGCTCATTTGCCCATCCATCCACAATTCCACTATCACAGAATAACAGAATAATGGCTGAATGATCATCACGTGTCTCTTGCGTAAAGTAGAATACCTAGTAATAGAAGAACACAGATTGTCTTGTGAAGTCGTGAAGAATAAAAGGTATTAAATCTGTTGCGGACTTCATGGTTTAATACATTTAATTTTTAAATTTTTATTAGGTTTCAATATGGTTAGCTCACTAGACAAAAACGAAGATGCAGACGAAGATATGGATGATATTTCATATGAGAAGCATAGAAAATTGTTACAGACAATTACATCAAAAACTAAACGAAAGTATGTAATTTACATAATTTATAACAATTAATGAATTTAAATTAAGTACAGTAATCTATTTTTAATTTAATTTAAGAATCCAGCCAACTACTCGAAATGAACCAAGCTTACAAGTTTCTGAATTTCATTTGTCAAGTGGACAACAAACAACAAATGTTGATGATTTAACAAATGCATTAAAAAAAAAGGCACCACAAATAAGACAAAAAATTCAAGTTGCCAAATCAACAAAAAAGCTATTGCAGAAACCATTGGATAAAGTTCACGCTGATAAAGTAATCTTTTTATATCCTAATATTAATATTTATCAATATACCTACCTATGTTAAACTATCTAATACTATTAAACTGAATACCTACCCTCTTTAATAATGTTTGAATTTTATCTAGTGTTAACGGACGATTATAAAGTACAGACATGAAAATCAGAAATGAACAGTTTAACTTTAAGCTTAAAAATTGTAATAATTGTACATACATTTTGCAGATTTATCAGGGTTTATCTCTTTTGGCCTCTGTGTCGTATATGTAAAACATACTCATGTACTTAGACCTATAAGCTATTGGAAAGCGAATTCCACTCCGCCCTGCCATCAATGCAAGGCTATCATATAACCATATTATAACTGAGAGGGAAAGAACATAAAGTAGTGAAGGAGCTCTCATAAGAAACTGTATAAATTGTACTACTTTGTTTCTTTTCTTGCTCACTCTATATTGTATCCCTGACTTCTCTCTCTAAGCGCTGTACATTAGTTTATAGGTCTAAGTATATGAGTATGCAACCCTTAAACTAAGAATAAATAATTAAAATTTTGTACTAAAATTTTCTGATGCAGTCTTCAAATATGTTATTAATACACAAGTATGCAGTGGTGGTATATGGGTAGAAGAAATCGAATTTATTTTTTAAAATGGTAACCACTATATTTTTTTATGGATTCTGGTAAAGCTTTTTTTCTGAACATTTTGACAGTAAAATGATCAATTTTGGTTCACTAGGTTATAACTATGGTCCTCTAAATTTTAGTTTAATATGCATTAATACTTTTAACTGAATTACCTAATTAACAAGAGCCCTCTTAATCCGGGCTTAGACACAGCGTGCAGTGATAAGATGACTATGAATTAATAGATCCTGTTTCAATACTGTCTATAATACGGCTTATTCTCTCCAATCTCTATCATACCCTAATATTTACTGAATCGTCAAATGTTATAATAACTTCACAATAATAAATGTGAACTGTCAATACAAAAAGATATATTTCTCAATTCAATAAAAATATTCTTATGAATTGTATCTTTTAATAGTTTATTATTTATTAGTAGGTAGTGTTTATTTATCTTATGGGGAGACTCAGTTTAAAAGAGTCCCCAGATGGGCCACTGCACTCATGAATCATTTAATTGAAAATGTTCTCTCTTACATGCCATAAACAGAATAAAAACTTATGAAAGACTTAATGGTTTTTAAATGTAATTTTAATGAAAAATAAATATTGGCAATACAGTAAACCTTCCAAATTCATATCTTTATTATTTTTAAACTTATTAAGTAATTAAAAGCAGGGTTGGTAAAATACGTGCATAAAACGTTTTATACGTTACACGTATTATACCCCACGTATAAAACGTATAAAACTAATTAACGCCTAAGACATACTAAATTTCCTTAAATTTAGAATAAAATTTAAAGTATTAAATCTTAATAGTTAATATTTAATAATCATTTGATTGGTTGTCTTTTTCTTCTATTTTGAGCGAATAGTATACTGCTAACAACTTTTTTGAATGTTCAATGTTCAGGAGATAATCTGTTTCGCAAATTATTATGTATATAAGACCAATTTGAAAAAACTCTCTCCAACTGGGCTGTCGATGCTGGTATGCTTAATAGTTTGTTTGCAAAATCTGCTAATTCAGGATGTTTTTGTTTAGCAAAAGACTAAAATGAATTTGCTGTTAAAGTATCTTTTTCAAATAAAATGCCAAATAAATTTTTTTTTTCTTTAAACTCAATAAAGCTATTTAAGCCATTTGTACCAATATCAGTTGAGTTTAAAATGAAATTTTCAACAATGTCTTTCTGCTCAGGTGACATTTTATTGTGTTTTTGGTAAATTGGATGTAAATAATTGGCGGTTAATGAATATTCATTTAAAGCATACTTTTGTTGCTTTGCAATATAATTATTAAAACTTTCAAATCCACTAGGTATTTTGCTAGGTAGATTTAACCATAATTCTGCTACATCAGCAATTTATGTTTTGCTTTGTTGACAAATATTAATAAGTTCACATACGGGATCAAACAGGTCAATTGAATTGGATAAATTTTTAATAAAATTACTGTCGAATAAATATCTGTGCACCTCACCATCAAACTTATGTTCACTAGATGTCAAAACGTTTTTCATAGCTGGAATGTTGCTCTGAAGGTTTCTGAATGATAATAGCTGATCGATGCAGCAAAAAAAAAAAACTTTTATACAGTATAAAACGTATAAAACTAAGTAGTTTTATACTGTACGTTTTATACACACGTATAATACGTGTTTTATACTGTACTGTATTATACGTTCCAACCCTGATTAAAAGAATAAATAAATATATTAATTATTGTTTTTATTACAGATAAAAAGAGCAGTTGCTTATGATAATTTCAAAAAACACATAAGTAGATGGTCTGCTGTTGTTGAAAAAAATAAGTCTGCAGATCAGTTAAGATTTCCTTTAAGAAGTAGTGAAGTTGAAGTTTTTGATAATCGTATGGTTGATTTTACCCGGGGCTTTAATCACCCTACAGATTTACAAAAAAAAATCTCCACCGTATTACAATCTAGTAAAATTGTTCAACAAAAACAAAAAGATTTGGTAATAATTTCATTTAAGCTCCAATATAGTAACTAATTATTAATCATCTAAATTTACTTATTTTAATTTTTAGAAAATGTCTTGGATAGAAAAAGAAAAAGAAAAGTATCCACTGACACTAAAAGAGTTATTAGAGAAACGTAAAAGTATGGCTAATTTTCGGGCCAAAGAATCATATAGACATGCTAAAGCTCACAGACAAAATAAAA